TATATATATATATAATCGCAGAAATAAAAGTTTAATGTAAAACTGCAAATTTAATATTGAGAAATCAATAATTTTGTTTAGTATGACAGGCATTTTAATATCTGTCAGTTTTAGTGCATATTTCGTTCAAAATGTCACACGTGATAAACAGAGATCGTTCGAATTATTTGGGATTTGTATTCCTGGCGTAGGCAGGAAATTTTCATTATTTCTTGCACGTTATCTCGTGTAATCTTCATCTCCTTCACTTTTTTTCTTCTTCGGCAAAGCCTGTCCTGCAACTTATTGCGCATATTTCACTGTTAGTTTCTACATCCTTCGTAAGTATTGTTTCCGAGTTTAGATTCCACTTTTCTGATGCCGTATGATTGAAGAATTGTAACGTTTAAACAAGTAACAAATATTCGGCTTATTTCGTGTACTTTTGCGTACACTTCGAAATCTTAATTGCAACTTAATTGCAATACAGCGCAGTGAAACCTCGGAAATTGAAATTGCCCGTTTCAACGCGATGGGGACGAATTCGAGCGGGGACGAACGATAAAAAGAAAAAGAGAGAGAGAGAGAAAAAAAAGAAGAGAAGAGAAGAGAAGTCGTAGCTGTCGATTGCAACGAAATTGGCGACGTCACGTGCGTTCGAAGAGAGCGCAATCGTTGCCGCACATCTTTCTTCCTTCGCTGTCGCTCTCTTCGCGCACGAATACATTATCTTTTATTGCTGTCGAGTCGGCGGGGCTCAGCTCTCCCTCTTCACCCTGGCTGCATTGTTTCCGCTGGAAAATCACACGGAGTGGCCCCGCTCACCCCCTCTTCGTTGATATCAAGCGCACCTGGAATTTTCTCCGGTTGATTTTCAAGCGTCTCTCGTCGAGTCGGTGACCTTTGTGCCGCGCCTCTGGCCGCCGCGACAGCTGAATGTAAACGAGAGCGGAAAAGAAACGGACGCAGCGAGGGAAAAGAACGTGCGCGCCAGCTCGTTTGCCTCGCGAATAAACGCGAAATAAACGGGGAAAGCAATCTCGTGGCGTTTCGATTTTCAACCATTTTTCTCGAGTCGCAGCCACTTTTCCGACATCGCTCTTCAATGTCGATCGCCGTTTCAGCGGACCAGATCGACCGTGAAATTAAAACACTAGAGCTTGGGCCAAATGACCTAATTTATATATTTGTAACAGTGTATTTTTAGACACTTCTTCACATCTTTATCGTATTATCAACTTTTTCTTGCACCTTGCGCTTTAATTTCTTTGCTAGACTACAGTGCGTACTTCTTAATAAGAACGTGGACGCCATTTCTCTGAAAAAAAAAATATATATATTATTTTTGTAAAGAATTTTGCACGAGATCGACAGTACATCTAAAATGCTATTACGCGCTCCATTGGTAACAACCACTAGCGATTATTGCTTTTCTCTCAACTCTATCGAAACTGTTGCTTTCAAGAAAGTGAAACTTTCCGTTCCGTGCGAAGTTTCGTACAAAAAGAATTTCTTATTATCAAACACACTGTATTCCCTTCTTTTCGAACATCCAGTGAGAAATGTGCAGCGCATGCATAGGTAGACTCCCAACCCTTCCGGTTTCCATCGATCACAGTGCGAAATAAGGGACAGCTCTCTCCCTCAAGAAAGATTAACCCTTTGCACTCGGAACAATTTTTAATATAACCTATCAGCAACTCCGAGTCATTTTTTTCTATCAACTACTCCAGACTATTTACAAAGGCGCCTCTGTGGAATATTGAAAATCTTGCTTTGTCGTTGAAGAAAAATGTGAATACATTTTTAAAAATATGTTTTATTAATACAATATAATTAGAAAAATTTATGGTTTTTCTTTTTATTTTAACACAATTATTTATACAAACTAACAGCATAGGCTTCCAA